TGTGTGTTTATAGTGGTGGTCTCATACAGTATCTGTCTTTTTGTGATTGACTTACTTCACTCAGCATCATGCCCTCCAGATTCATCCATGTTGTGAGATGTTTTGAAGATTCATCGCTTTCTTTATTGTTGCCATAGTATTTCATTGTGCCTATATACCATAGTCTGTTTATCAGTCATCTGTTGATGGGCAGCTAGGTTGTTTCCATCTTTTTGCTATTGTGAATAATGCTGCAGTGAACATGGGTGTGTATATGTCTATTTGTGTGACGGCTCTTATTTTCTAAGATATATTCCTAGGAATGGGATTACTATTTCTATTTCTAGCTTTTTAAGGAAATGCCATATCATTCTCCAAAGTGGTTGTGCCATCTTGCATTCCCACCAGCAGTGCATAAGAGTTCCAATCTCCCCGCAACCTCTCCAACATTTGTTATTTTCTGTTTTTTGATTAGTGCCAGTAATGTAGGGGTGAGATGGTATCTCATTGTAGTTTTGATTTGCATTTCTCTAATGGCTAATGATCGTGAGCATTTCCTCATGAGTCTGTTAGCCATCTGAAACTAATTCAAAATGGATTCAAACTATAAAGATCATGGAAGAAAAAACAGGATCAACACTAAGCCCAAATCCATTGTCATCGAGTTGATTCCGACTCATAGCAACCCTATAGGACAGAGTAGAACTGCCCCATATGGTTTCCAAGGAGGAGCTGGTGGACTGGAACTGCCTACCTTTTGGTTAGCAGCCGAGCTCTTAACCACTGCACCACCAGGGCGCCGATATATGGCACAAACAGGATACAAACCATAATTAACAATATATAAACACCAGAAGAGATAAGCAAGATAAATGGAATCTTCTAAAAATTAAACCTTATGCTTATCAAGGAGTCCTGGGGACTGTTAATCAAAAGATCAGCAGTTCGAATCCACCAGCTGCTCCTTGAAAACCCTATGGGGCGGTTCTACTCTGTCCTATAGGGTCGCTGAGTCAGGATCGACTTGACGGCAATGGGTTGCGCCTATCGAAAGACATCACCAACAGAGTAGAAAGAGAACCTACAGACTGGGGGAAAAAATTGTGGCTATGACATATCTGACAAAGGTCTAATCTCTAAAATCTATAGGAAAATCCAACACCTCGACAATAAAAAGATAAATAAGCCAATTAAAAAACGGGCAAAGGATACGAACAGACACTTCACCAAAGGAGACACGCAGGCGGCTAACAGAGAAAACACCAAACCCGTTGCCGTCGACACATGGTCGTTTTCAGGGGAGGAAGCGGATGGAGCTCTGAATTCAAAATCGGGCGCCGGGCCTGGGCTGTGCCTCGGCGCCCGCGGTCCCGCTAAGGAAATTGCAGGCCCGGGGCCCAGACTTCTGACTTCAACAGGCATCATAACTAGACGATCCAACGCTTCGTTCTAAGTGGGCAGTGCCTCGCCTCAGGATGTGGGTCTGACCGAGTCGACTTCTGCCCTCCGACCTTCGACCCCGTGCGGCGCGGACCATCCCTCTCGGAAGACCTG